TACTTGGGAGGCTGAGGCAAAAGGATCGCTTGAACCCAGCCAGGAGTTTGAGTTGCTGTGAGCTAGGTTGACACCACGGCACTCACCCTAGCCTGGGCAACAAAGCAAGACTATGTCTCAAAAAAAAGAAGGAAAAGTAGGGTAAAATATTTTATGAGTAATTAATCCTATATTTCCAACAAACATTTCTATTGGATTAGATACTCAGTTTCTTAAAAACAAAGCATGAGGCTGGGTGCAGCGGCTCACGCCTGTAATCCTAGCACTCTGGGAGGCCGAAGCGGGCAGATTGCTCGAGGTCAGGAGTTCGAAACCAGCCTGAGCAAGAGTGAGACCCCGTCTCTACTATAAATAGAAAGAAATTAATTAGCCAACTAATACATATAGAAAAAATTAGCCGGGCATGGTGGCGCATGCCTGTAGTTCCAGCTACTTGGGAGGCTGAGGCAGCAGGATCGCTTGAGCCCAGGAGTTTGAGGTTGCTGTGAGCTAGGCTGATGCCATGGCACTCACTCTAGCCTGGGCAACAAAGTGAGACTCTGTCTCAAACAAAACAAAAAAAACAAAACATGCAAAGCCCACATAAACAATTGAACCAAAGAAATACGGAAGTTAGTTCAATTTATTTTATTTTAGTTTTGAGACAGAGTCTCACTTTGTTGCCCAGGCTAGAGTGAGTGCTGTGGCGTCAGCTTAGCTCACAGCAACCTCAAACTCCTGGGCCCAAGCGATCCTCCTGCCTCAGCCTCCCGAGTAGCTAGGACTACAGGCATGCGCCACCATGCCCGGCTAATTTTTTCTATATGTTTTTAGTTGGCCAATTAATTTCTTTCTATTTTAGTAGATAGAGATGGGGTCTCCCTCTTGCTCGGGCTGGTTTTGAACTACTGACCTTGAGCGATCCTGCCCGCCTCAGCCTCCCAGAGTGCTAGGATTACAGGCGTGAGCCACCACACCCTGCCTCAATTTATTTTAGGTTAGTATTTGGAACCTGAATCCAAGTACCTCGGATATTCATCAGCCTTTCTATCAATGTGATTCTGTGCTCTTTTGATACTCGTTTTTATTAATGTAGGCTTATAAGTTAACCAATAGTAATACACAGTGACTTTTTTCCCTAGCCAAATTAGTTTGGATTATTAGAGGTTTATATTAGGTTATTCAATATGAGGTGTCTGATTTTGAGTCAAAAATGTAGTTTATATCTCAAACAAAAAGCAGTACAATTAATCAAAATATGTTCCTAAACTGTCAACACAGTTTTGCCATCTTACCGATAGCTTGTTTGTGCCAGCAGCAAAGAAGCCTGGAAAGCAAGTGGCGATGAAATCGCGAAAGGCGTTTTCCACAGCTTGTTGAGAATTGAACACTTTCCCTTGCAAGAAGTGGTCCAAAGCCTGGAAGAAGTGGTAGTCAATTTGTGCAAGGTCTGCTGAATATGGTGGATGATAGAGTTTCCAAGTTCAGCCTCTGTAGTTTGAGCAGCATCGTTTATGCAACATGTTGTGGAGCGTTGTCTTACAAGAGGATTGGCCTGTCTCTGTTGATCAGTCTGAACTGCTTAATCACAAGCATCCTCCTCATTTCATCTAATTGGTTGCAGTAGACACCACTGTAAAGGATTAACCAGATTTCATGAAGCTGCAGTGGATAATACCAGCACTGGACCACCAGACACCATTAGCTATTTTTAATGAGTATTCAGTTTTGGACTGTGTCTTGGCACTTCATCTTTATCCAACCCTTGTGCCAAACACTTGAAATTGTTGAAAACGATCCATTTTTCATCACACGGGATAATACTGTATCAGGGATCCTCAAACTACAGCCCCACGATCCATTTTTCATTACACATGACAATACTGTATCAGGGATCCTCAAACTACAGCCCTGAGCCACATGCAGCCCGCAGAGGACATTCATCCTGCCCACTGGGTGTTTTTGCTGCTGGCTGCCTGTCTTGCTTAGCAGCCGACTCATCCCGGGCCCACAGTGCGCATGTGTGGAATGTGCGCCGCACTCTCCAGTGGCCCTCCAACGGTCTGAGGAACAGTGAACTGGCCCCCTGTTTAAAAAGTTTGAGGACCCCTGCAAGTGTGTAGAAATGGTTTGGCTTTATGTCATGACAGCAAAGAAAGACAAGCTTTGAGAGGATCTTTCTTCTGACTCTTTAATTCATGTGGAACCCATCTATCCAGCTTCTTTACCTTGCCAATTTATCTCAAATAGTCCAATATTGTTAGAATAGTAATGTCAAACCTTGCTGGTAATTCACTAGGTTGAGATAGATTCGATTCCACTACAGCTTTCAGCTTATCATTATCTGTGTTGGTCTCTGGTTGCCCACATGGCTCATTTTCGAGATTAAAATCACTGGAACTTCTCAAACCATGGATGTTCTGTGCATTCATTAGCCACATCCTCCCCAAACACTTTGTCGCTGTTTGGAGCTGTCTGCACAGCATTGGTTCCATGATGGAACTCCTGTTCAAAAATAACACAAAGTTTTGACTTACCTCGGTTTCACAAAATTTGCCCCCCCCAAAATTGAAAGATAATCACAAACCAAACTATGCATTTGAAAGTATGAGGATGTACTATCACAATAAAAATAAGAAGTGTCAGAGATATCAACTGTCAAACTTAGTACTTAAGGAAATCAGACATTTCATACTTAATAACAGTGTTCTTTCTGAACAAAAGTATCATGCCTATAATATCAGAAACATCTTTCCATTTTGTTCTCTAGAGGAGATAATCCACTATAGCTGAATAATAACAGTTGGCTGTTTGGTGGATGAAAAATGCCAGTGTTTTCCAAAAGAGCAGTTCACATGTGTTTTCAAGTTTTTGCTGTTTCAGGTCCCACATATACTACTATTTAATATTTTTCTTCAATCAGCTGATTCTTTAGCTTACAATATTTTAAAAGGAAACTTTTGCCATCATTGCAAATGGGAAGTTAGTATGATATTACTTGCTCTACCTAAGTAGGTCATTCTTAAAAATAAATATGTAATGGTAAAATGAAGTGTTAACCACATACCTTCTTAAAGCCACTAACAACTCTATCCTTCCAGTTACTCAGACCAAAACCCTGGGAGTTGTAGTTGACTCCTTTCTCTCACATCTCCCAGTCAACCTGACAGCAAATCTTGGCAGCTCATACCTTCAAATACCTACAATTGTGCCACCTCTGACCACCTTCACTGCTCTCGTCCTGGTCCAAGCCAGCATTCTCTTTTGCCAGGATTTTTGCAGTAGCCTCTTAGCCACTCTGCCCTTGCTTCCTTCACTCTGTCCCTCACGAAGCAGTTAAAGGGATCCTGTTAAAAACAAGTCAGCCAGTCTGAGCAAGAGTAAGACCCCATCTCTACAAAAAAATAGAAAAATTGGCCAGGTGTGATGGAGTGCCTGTAGTCCCTGCTGTTCAGGTGGCTGAGGCAGGAGGACTGCTTGAGCCCAGGAGTTTGAGGTTGCAGTGAGCTATGATAAGGCCATTGCACTCTAGCCTGGGTAACAGAGTGAGACACTGTCTCAAAAGAAAATTAAAAAAACAAGTCAGAGCCTGTCACTCAATAACTGTTGGCATCCTTAATCTCCTACTACTCTCTAATCTTAATTTGCTTTGAGCTAACTTGGCATCTTGCTGTTCTTTCTCAGTCTAATCAAGGGCCTAACTTAGGGCCTTTGCACTTGCTGTCCCTCTGCTTCAGAGACTCCCCTCAGCTATCCATAAGTCAAGCTTCCTTACCTTTAGGTCTCTAGTCATGACACCTGATCACAGTAGCCCCTTCCCTATTACTCCCTGCTTCAGAACACCATGATCTGTCATATAATTTACATATTTATTTTGTCGATTATGTCTCTCCCACGAGAATGTGAGCTCCACAAAGGCAGGCATTTTTGTTTTGTTTACTGCTTCTTCCTCAGTGCCTCGAAAAGTGCCTGACGTTTATTCAATTCAGTTAATTCAATCAGAATAAATATCTTATTGAATAATGGCATGTATCCTATGCTTTGGGAAATGCTGACACATACTGGGAATACCTTCCACAGTCTTAGGTCCCTCCAGTGGGCCTCTCTTCAGTTCCTTGGTAAGTCCTACTTGCCTCTCCGAGTCTGGTCAGTTGGGGGCTCAGCATTCAAGGCAAAGAAAACTTGAAAATTGTCTGGATCCTTCCAGAGAAAATAATGTAAATGCCAGGGGAAGTCAAGGAGGAAGAAGAGGCAGGCAGGACTGGTTGGGAGAGCAACCCTAGGAGAGATGCTCTGTGCCCAAGCACAGGAGGAAAGTCAGTCCCCCTTCCCTCCCACAGCCCCATCCCCTGTCTGGCCCAGTTACCTAGGCTCTGTTTGAGATGTTTTGTGTGTTGCTTTCATGAGCTACTTGCCAGGCTTTGGGTTTTTTGGAAACACATCAGAGAAACAGATACCCTCTTCTAGCTTTTTTACAAGAGAGAAACTATAGCTTAAATAATTGAAAAATAATTAAAGATTGCATCCTTGACACCTTCAGTTGACCCTTAGGTTATTAAGAGAACACCATTTTTATGTGACATATCCATGGTGACTATTCCTACTAATGTTTAAGAATCAGTCCAACAAATGAGCATACCCTTAGCCTCTTCTTTTCCAAGATACTTTTGTTAGCACTTGATAGTTTTCTTCTCACAAGTTGATCCAAAGTCATCAACATTTAGACATTTAAACCCTTTAAGAGGCTTGTCAAAGGGGTGGGGGTGGGAGTCTTTGAGTTGGTTATCTAGCCCTGATCATTTCACTGTCACAGAACTGTGTCCCCATTCCCTCTGGTTGTATTGATCGATTGCCGATGGCTTTATAAGTGGCAAGTTTGAGTTGTGACAATTTGCAACGATTTTTATTTTTTTTGCATGTTAGCATCTTTATTCCCAGAGAGTGATAATGAGCAGCTAGCTCTAGGCTTACAAGTTCCCCTGGAGTTGCTAGTATCTTGAATTTCTTTCCATTTATTTTAGGAGTAAAAGTCCCTCGCAATTTCCGACTGTTGGAAGAACTCGAAGAAGGCCAGAAAGGAGTAGGAGATGGCACAGTTAGCTGGGGTCTAGAAGATGACGAAGACATGACACTTACAAGATGGACAGGGATGATAATTGGGCCTCCAAGAGTAAGCGTCAAGCTACGACTATAAATATCAATGTCTTAAATTCACTGTGCCTCCTTTTAAAAAAATATTAGCCTTATCACGGAAAAAAGCTCACGAATGGTATATTTTCTGAAATGTGGCTATTCTTTTTTGACCAGTTTCAGTTTATATATTTGAACCTCCTCTGATGCTGTTTAATCCCTCTAAATGGTAAGCAAAAACCTATTTAGACTCTAGTGTGAATTTACACAATGTAGACAGTGAGGGTTGAGGTCATTGCACCCTTAGGTGTAGTTTAGACCTAACTCTAGGCTTATCAAATAACCAAGCTCCAGGTATAGCTAGCATTCCTGAAGCCAGTCTCCCGAAGAACTTCGGAAAGCCTTCACAGTTGTGGTTTTTATTCACTGCCTCTCAGGTTTGCCCAGTACCTGTATCCTGATTAATTGGGCCATTCAGCAAAGGTTTATTGCCAGCCTGTCAGCTCTGTTTCAGGCACTGTTAGGCCCAGAGGCCTTTGTGAAGACCAAGACAATAGGGATGGGAGAAGTGACCTCACCTAGAACTTCATGATTTGTGATAGTTCCCAGTCTTGCTAATGGCAGCTAACCTTTTTTGAGGGTATGGAGTAAAAACTCAAGAAATGTCATTTAATTTTCACAGTTCCCTATCTTTAGGTGTTCCTATTGTTTAATTGCATTCCATTTTACAGATGAGGAAACAGACTCAGAGGAGTGAAGTCATTTGCCCAGTCACATAGTTGATAACTCCCAAACCAGCTCAATCTGACCCCAGAGCCTGTGCTCTTAACCTCTATGCCACATTATCTCCCTCTTGTTTACATTTTGAGTTTCATTCATTACCATTATAGAATTATCTGGAGCGTAAAGTAGTAACTTAATATAAGAGTCAAGACATAGATTCCCATCATGTGACACACTCCAGATAAGCAGTAGGAGATTCTGCCTGAATGTAGCAGGACCTGTCCTGTGTCTGCTTATGCTTAAGGATGACGGCATTCATTCATTCTTTCGGCTGCGTGCAAGGCTCTGCACTAGGGCTGTGGGAAAGAAAGACATGTAGGGTGTGGCCTGTCTGGAACAGGGAAGAGCGACGTGTTAAGTGTTGAGACACTCCAATGTTCATCTTAGATGTTCATCAGCACTCATGTGGAATGACTTGCTTTGCTTCTTCAGTCATTTTTTGGCCATATAGTTTTTTGGTTTTTAAAAAATGTATCCATTCAATCTGTTTTTATTCATTTCTTTATCCTTTTTTTCCTACAAAACCAGAATTTTCTGTATCTATTAAATACTTGGGAAAACCCAATCCCAATCTAGAAATTCTATTTCTCCATGAAAATAAATTTCTTTGCTGTCTCTGAAAGTCCATTATATGCTGATGTCTTCTTCACTGCATTTCTTTTCTTCCTAAGAATGGTTTAGGTTTCTAGAGGATGAGAACTATTCTTCCCTCCTCTGTATTCCCCAGAGTATCTGAAAATGACTTAGAATGGAATAGTTATTCAGTAGATTTAATCAACTGATTTACGGCAGCTGGCATATTAAGAATTGAGGCCGAGGCAGGCGGATTGCTCGAGGTCAGGAGTTCAAAACCAGCCTGAGCAAGAGTGAGACCCCATCGTACTATAAATAGAAAGAAATTAATTGGCCAACTAATATATATAGAAAAAATTAGCCGGGCATGGTGGTGCATGCCTGTAGTCCCAGCTACTGGGGAGGCTGAGGCAGTAGGATTGCTTGAGCCCAGGAGATTGAGGTTGCTGTAAGCTTGGCTAATGACCCAGCACTCACTCTAGCCTGGGCAACAGAGTGAGACTCTGTCTCAAAAAAAAAAAAAAAAAGAATTGAACCCATGTACAGCATTGTGAATACACTAAATGCCTCTGAATTGTGCACTTAAGAAAACACATTATTCTGTCTGAATTTGCAGGGCTAAGAATAAAGATTTTTTTTCAAAAAAAATAAAGCATAACAAAAAAATAAACACATGAAACAATGAATCAGTAAGTTCTGTTGGAAATATTCTATTTCACCTAAAACAACTTGGACTACCCTGAATTTCAGTTTATCTCTTTATAAATGGGGCTAAGTTTTAATGGGTAGCTACAGTATGCCATGTGTTTTCCATATATTCTGTTTTTTAATGACAACTTTATTGAGATAGAATTCACGCTTTTAAAGTGTGTAGTTCAGTGGTTTTTGTCAAATTCAGAATTGTACAACCATCACTAATTTCAGAACATTTTTATCACACCCCAAAAGAAACCCCTTACCCATTAGAGTCCTTTCCTATCCTGCCTACCACCCCCACCCCCATTTCCCATCCTTGACAATCACTAATCTTTCTATCTAGCTCAGCGAATTTGCCTCTTCTGGGCATTGCATATAAGTGGAATCATACAATATGTCGTCTTTTGTGACTGGCTTCCTTTGCTTAGCATACTTTTTTCAAGGTTCATCCATGTTATAGTATCTGTCAGTACTTTGTGGCTGAAAAATATTCATTATCTGGATATACCATATTTTGTTTATACATTCATAGTTGATGGACATTGGGTTGTTTCTACCTTTTGGCTACTATGAATAATACTGCTAGGAACATTTGTGTAGAGGTTTTTGTGTGGACATATATTCTAGGAGTGGAATTGCTGGATCATGTGGTACCTCTGTGTTTTAACATTTTGAGGAATTGCCAAACTGTTTTTCAAAGTGGCTGTATATACCATTTTACATTCCACTGGCAATGCATGAGGGTTCCAGTTTCACCATATCCTCAACAACACTTGTTATGTTTGGATTACCCTGGTTCTCCAAGGTTAAAAACAAAGTCGTAAAAGGAACTATCAGCTTCTAGGTGCTTCCTGTGACCAATCTATTTTATGATTAGCATATAAGGTATATGCTGTGCAACTGGAATATCCACATAATTATTAAAGCATCTAAATAGAGCACTTGAGTAACTCATCTCCCTATTATATTTTTGTTATGTTTTACTCAAAAGAAAATCTTACATCAAAATTTTAGGAGTATATACCATCTGATCCAGCAGTTCTGCTAGGAATTTACTGTCCAGTTTTTCTTGAATGTATTGCCCAAAGGCAGTATACAGAATTATTTCATGCAGCATTGTCAGTATTTGCAAAATATTGGAAACAACCTCAGTATCTTTCAATAGACCATATTATGTACTGTTTAGTAGCTGTTGAAAAGAATGAGACAAATTTATGTGTGCTGAAATGGAGTGATCTCCATGATACTTAAGAAGTAAGTTACAAAGCAATACGCAGAGTATGCTGCCATTTGGGTAGGGGAAATGGGGGGAGAGGAAGAGGTCATATGTACACTTGTGCTTTTGTGTGCTTTCAATACCTTTGGAAGATCATAAAAGAAGCTGGTGACAATGGTTGCCTTCTTCAGAAGAGAGTTGGCTGGCTGGGGCCAGGGTAGAAAAGAAACTTAGTTTTTACCATACACCCATGTGTACTCTTTGAGTGTGTTTTAATCATGTGTGTTAGCTATTTAAATACTCTCCCCCCGCCCCATTTTTAAATAGAAAAAGAAGTCCTCCAAACATAAAAGCTTCCTATCCAAGTATTCCTTGCACAGTTATTTCTGACTATCCATAGCGTTATACATGGAATATTTCTTTCTTTTTCTTTTTCTTCTTTTTTTTTTGAGGCTCAGAGCAAAAACTCTTTTTTTTTTTTTGAGACAGAGTCTCGCTTTGTTGTCCAGGCTAGAGTGAGTGCCGTGGCGTCAGCCTAGCTCACAGCAACCTCAAACTCCTGGGCTCAAGCCATCCTTCTGCCTCAGCCTCCCCAGTAGCTGGGACTACAGGCATGCACCACCATGCCCGGCTAATTTTTTCTATATGTATTAGTTGGCCAATTAATTTCTTTCTATTTATAGTAGAGACAGGGTCTCGCTCTTGCTCAGGCTGGTTTCGAACTCCTGACCTTGAGCAATCCACCTGCCTCTGCCTCCAGAGTGCTAAGATTGAGACAGAGTCTTGCTCTGATGCCTGGGCTAGAGTACTATGGTGTCAGCCTAGCTTATAGCAACCTCAAACTCTTGGGCTCAAGGAATCTCCTACCTCAGCCTCCAAGAGTAGCTGGGACTACAGGCACATGCCACCACACCCACCTAATTTTTTTCTACTTTTAGTAGAAATGGGTTCTCACTCTTGCTCAGGCTGGTCTCAAACTCCTGACCTCAAGTGATCCTCCCTCCTCGGCCTCCCAGAGTGCTAAGATTATAGGCGTGAGCCACCACACCCGGCCTACGTGGAGTATTTCTACTTGACCACAGAAGTGCTGAGTAGTCAGGTTGTAAAGCAGGGTTTCTCAGCATGATTGACCCCAGTCAGGATGGATTTTTTCTTTGTTGTAAGGGAGCTGTCCTGGGCATTATAGGGTATTTAGCCACATCCATGACCTCTACGCACTAGATTCCAGTAGCAGCCCTGCCCCAGTCATGACAATGAATGCCTCCAGACAATGTTTAATCCTCCCTCTCCCCAGTAGGGGAGGGCAAACATTGCCCTGGTTTAGAAGCAGTGTTATGCCTCTGGGTTTCTCTAAGGTAGTGTTTTTATGTGTGGGTTGAGCCCCCGTGTGTGTTTATACACATACCCAAAAGTAGTGTACCCATGCTTAAAAAGGACAAAACATAGTCACAGGAATGTATGAAGTAAAAAGAAAGTAATCCTTTCTCTAATTCCTTATGCTTCCCACAGAATTAAAACTGTTAAGTTTGTGTATAATATGTTTCTACCTGCTTTTGCTGTGGGTATGTAAACATAAATACATATTTTTCATAAGAAAAATGGGACCTTGCTATGCATAATGTTCTGCAACTTCATTTCTTTTACTTAATAGATGGTGGACATCTTTCTGTATCAGTACATATTAACCTCTTTTTAAAAAGCTTTCAGTTATATGACTGATAAATGAATATACTCTTTTAAAATTTTTCAGCAACAGGCCAGGTGGTGTGGTG